GGAGGACACACCAAATATTAATTAAATAATAAAAAAGTAGCCGTTAGTGATTGTCTTGTAAATAAATAAAAAAAAAAATTACAATAAAAATAAAGTTAGTACATACCATAAAAATTCGTTTCCGCCATTCTTTTCGCCGGGGACTGTAGTTGCTATTTGTCAGTAATATGTCTATTATATTTTTCAAAATCGATAGGTTTCTGTAAAGTAATCTTGTATATTATATTTTTACGAATGTTGAATTAGTGTCTTTTACAAATTTTTAAGTAATAAAAGACTAAAAAATTGTTTTACAAAATTTTTTATCAAATTTTCCTCTACAAATTTCTAAATTTATTAAATCGTAATTTTTAAACAATAATTTCTCTTCCACGACATGATGACAATTAGGATAAAATACCAAATTTAAAACTAATCCTCTCTAAATTACTGTACTTGAATGTTGAAAATTAATGCATTTTCATACCGAAGTAATTTACGCATAAAAATTTAACGAATAAAAATTTTCCAAATCATCTTTAAATAATCATGATATTTGCGTATTTTTCCTGACATTACCGTTACGAACTCAACGAACTCAACTTGAATATTGAGAAATACTAGAAACAAAAAAACAATTCTTTTACAGAAGCAAGGAAAAGTTAATTTATAAAATGTTTTGTTTACAATTTAAGGATTAAAAGATCATGACCTAATTTGGATTGAAGTTTCATTACATTTTTTAGTAAAACATTCTTTGAAATGGGTTAAAGAGACTATATATACGCTCGATTTGTCAAAATATAAGCTATATCCAAGTATATATAAAGCATAACGCTTGTTATATCTAATTCTGTATGTAATAAATAGTACCAGCCATTGGAGTCGGAGTCGACGGCTGAGTCGGCTCTGCAAAAATCAAGTAGAGTCGACTCAAGAATTTTAAAATAATCGAGCTGGAGACCGAGTTGCAGTTCCAAATTTGATATAATCATGAAATTCTCAAATAAATAAAAGTTCAAATTTTTAGCAATTGGGATTCTGGCAATTTTATTTCTGATGAAAACTCATTATCTACTTTTTACATCATTAATTAAATTTAAATAATTTCGTTAATACTAAGATATTAATAATACATTAATTTCAATGAGAATCGCGAATTAGTCGCGGCTGAGTGGACTGAAAAGGGTCTACTAAAGAATTTCCCCTACTTTCTTTGTATATATCAAATACAGGACATTCTGAGCATTCTTGAAAACAAAACTGGTTGTTTTCTAACGTACATGCGATCAATAATAGTACTTATTAATGGATAGATCAAGTTCTATAACGTTAAAATTAGCGCCTACCATGATGAAAACATCAAGCTTGAAAAATTACCGTTAACAAGAACGTTAATTCGCATTTACGAAGTAAAATTAGCGAACGTAATATTCACTCGTAGTCAAAAATACCAATAATTTTTATAATTGTCATTTTTAATGAAAAGAATGCGTTTTTCACAATAATGGACATTAAGGGCATTCTCAATCACCTCTCTCAATGTGGTGATTACGATCAATTGAAATATAAATGATTATGATCGACCTCTTTTTATCTTTCTATCAATTTCATTTCATTATGAATAAAAAAAAAAAAAAAAATACCAAAAATAGCTCGTACCGGCTCTTTTTACTAATTTAACAAGATCGTTCTTTGCAACAACAACAATAATATCCTACTACACCTATCATAAAAAGCAGTGTTGTGATCAATTTACGATGGTGATGGTCCCGTTGAAGATTAAAAATGAGAGAGTTTTTTGAGCGATCTCTTTTTATATTCCATCAATGAGATTTTTTAAGCAATCAGCGCAGCTCTATCAAAAAAAGGTGGTTTTTAGCTCCCGGTATTATTGATAATCTTGATTTATTTTTTTAGCCAATCAGATCATTTATAAACCCATTGAAGGAAACGCTTGAGAACGCCCTAATACAACTTAGTTTAACGATTATACGGAAATAATTATTTATTTTAAATCAAACATTACAAAATTTATTGTCCATTAAGAGAATAAATTTATAAGTAAACATAATTTTATTATGTCATACTTTCAAAGTTGATAAAATATTCAGAATAATACTGAACGTCAGTAGCAGTAAAGAAAAAAATATACAAAAATTCGAATTAATATTAATTTGTAGAAACTCTTTATCAAATTAACACCCAATATTTTGCACGTTATGGAAAGTCGTGCCCTAGAAACACTAGCCAAGAAATACCACACACTATCTCAAGTTCTAAAATAATTACTGAATGTTTTAAATTATATTATTACTAAACAAATTATTGATCCTTATGATGAAATTATAACCCTGAGAATTATTTATCTTATCTAAAATTAATAACTAATTTCATACGTATCCAAACAAACTGCAATAAAAATGCAATAAATTAATTTGAGAATGATCAAAGTATAAAGTATAATCTCAATGATGTTTTAATTATGCACCCCTAAACTCTCATTCAATATTCTTGATATCAACAAATACAAGAATCACTCTCGTCCACAATAAATATTGTAATTCACCATACTCTTCAAATATTAGTAGTAACGGAAACAAATAACCTTTGAGTTATACAAATGGAAAAAAAAAAAGAAAATACGTCAGACGCATTGTTTGGTTAACAAGTAGTTTTGTAAAATTTATCTTTTATTATCGTTGAGCTTATAAATATATGAAATATTTTGCAATGTTTCAAAACATAGAAATGCCGGGTCAGGTTCATAACATAAATACATAGTTTACAGTATACTACCTTCATTTATATCATTATTAAGACTGAAAATGAAACTACTCGAAAAAAAAGCTTTGAGTAGTAAACTTTTTACAAAAAATGTTTATGAAGTAAATAATCTTCACTGGTACATACAATTGCATTAATTTGCATAAGTTAACTATCATTATGTAATTAATTTCAAATACAATCAACTAATAAAATGTATGAGTCATAATATTAATGTCGAAATAATTAAAATTGATAAAATATACTCAAATAGATCCAGCCTAAATGATTTCGTGAAGAAATAGTAACGCATCAAGTTTCAAATGAAACTTATTATCATACACAAATAATAAATTTCATTGATCACACTCAAAATTTAATGTCAAATAAATTTATAAATTTGAAACAGAAATATGTAGTTGTGCTTTGCTTCTACGCATAAAATTCTACTGCATCATTAAATAGCTCGAAGTTCACTAAAAGTATATTAATTAAATTAATAATTTAAGAGAATTATATATATATCGTAAGACTTTTATATTACTTACTTTACTTTAAGGAATTTCCAAATCATCTTGATCTTCCGAATGAAGGTTTGGATTATTATATATTTCATTATCTATGATTTAATAATTATTACATAAAAATAATAAATATCTTGTTTAAAAGAAATTGTTTATTCCTTACCATCACATTCAATACAATTTTTTTGTCTATCATTATTGAAGACCATAGGAACTTCTAAGAAAATATTTAATTTAATAATTATAAATAGTGAATTTAAAATAACTTAATTAAATAATTACCGTAATTATTATTAATGTTAGGTTTTATTTTTTTAGATTTCATGCTCAAATTTTCATTTTCTAACAAAAAATTTGTATTAATAAAATTTTTTTTTTTTTTGCAAATAGATGCTTCATAGTATAATAAAATTAGTTATTACGATCAGGATAATTTCTTTTAGAATTGCCTTTTATTTCAACATTTACATCTATAATATATAAAGTGTTAATAGTTTTAAATGATTTAACTACAAATAAAAATAACTATTACAATAAATATAATCTTACCAATAAGGTTTGCACTTTCATTCTGTTCGCTTTGTTCGTTATTTATAACTTCGTTTGGTTTAATAAATAAATTAGTAAAATATTAAAATAATTAATGAAATTAAATTACTTACAATTTGGAATGTCAAGGCTATTTTGCTTACTATCATATGCTTTGTTTTCATTAAAAACAAGGTATATTAAATAATTAGCAATATTGAATATTGATTTTTTTAACCTATTTAAATATATACCTTCTTGTTCTTCTATTAATTAAAAAATTTAATTTAAATAACTTCGATTATGATTCTAATAAATATAACAAATAATTTACCTTTAGTAGCATTTCTTGGTTCTGGCAAATTTTCAAAAATATGAACTTTACTAAATTTTCTAGCTAATGAGCTAACCAAATTAGAATTTGTATCAAAACTATCAAAACTTCTTGTTAATTTTATATCGTTAGTATCACTAATATTATGATCCTCCTCATTTTTATTATAATGATATGATTTATATATTTCTTCAATTTTGTCAAAAAGAGTTCTAGCATCGGGTCTCTTCAATGGATCAGCATCCCAACATTGTATCATTAATTCCTTATATTCTAATGGTGTGTCTGAAATTATATTTGGTCTCATTCCATTCACTATATTCATTACAAGATCATAATTATGATCATAATAAGCAAAGGGTGGTTGTCCAGATGAAATCTCCCACATAAGCATTCCTATACTGTAAATATCTGATGCTTTACTACTTTCTTTTCCAAACATAACTTCTGGTGCTATGTAAGGAAGATTTCCATATACGCTTTTTAAAGGTTTATCAATAGGCCCACAAAATCCGAGATCACCAATATACCAATCATTGTAATACTTTTCATATAATATATTTCCTGAATGTAAATCTCTATGAATAGCATCCTCTTGATGAAGATAATAAATACATTCAACTATATTTTCAGCAATATGAATTCTTTCTTTCCATGTAAGTTGTTTATTATTTTGTTGTAAATAGTTTCTTAAATCTATATCTTGCAATTCTATTACTAAAAAATAATCTTTTTTTAATGGATCCTGAGTAATACCATAACATCTAACTAATTCCGCCAATTTATTGCTTAATGTTAAATGAGAAAATGCCTATAAACGGAATTAATATTTTAGCATTTTAATGATATAACTGAATATTTATAAAATTTATATACCTCTTCAAACCAACTTCTCTTAGCGCTTTCAACATTCTCTAACCTTTTAAGTATTACTTTGCGTGCTCCAAATCTGTTTAATTTCTGCGTATCAGAATCCCAAATAAGCTTTCCACCAATCCAATCTGCCGTATATATTTCAGAACATCCGCCTTTAGTTAAATATGTTATATTTTGTAAATTGTTATGTGGGATCCATTCAACTATATCATCTTTGAAAATTGTTTCCATTTGACATTTATGTATTAAATCATCAATTTCTTCATTTTCAGACGTCCATATTGTAAAATTTGCTATTAAATAATTTCGAACACAAAGTTCACAATATGATATCGCTAAACATTCTTGTTGGCAGTTCTCACAAATTCTTTTCTTTCCTCGATTATGTATAATTTTACGACCTTCATAATTATTTCTTAACAATTTTATTACCTCCGATTTTTTATCATCTGTAAGTGATTTATCAGCTATAATTGTTTGTTGGCTCAATTCAAACTCTTTATCTATGTCAGATTTACGTATTAATGTAATTACTTTATCATATAGGTTATTAATTAATTCTTTACGATTAAATGTCATAGTGGCAATGGGAATAAGAAGATAAAAAAATGATTGTTTTTCTAAAAAACGAAATACATATGAAAATTTAGAACAATTATCACCATTTCTGAATTAAAATTCTTTCCAAATTGATATACGGAATTCTAAAATGTATATTCTAATTAAAATTCTAAGAATTCTTAACTTTGAAACAATTTATGTTGGAACAAATGCTGTGTTACCATTCGCAAATTTGAAAATAACAAAATTTTCTGAGTCTTGCCCAGTTAGCGACATTTTGCACGGATTAATATATTAAATAAAAATTTAAGTGTAATACAATCCGGTGTAAAACAAATTAAACAAGTTTGCGGATCTCAGATGCTAATAGAGCATGTGCTATGTAATACATAATCCATGCTTATTAAATTAAAGTTTTTAGAAGTTTTTATTAACGATATGTTTTTGAACGTTTGAGATATGATGTTTAATTTTCTATATTTGTTTGAGACATTTTTATCGATCTTAATGGAATTAATATCAAATGAATGGATATCAAATTGATTCTAAGAGGGAGCCCAAAATCTCACCTTTCGTCAAATTCAAATTGATCAATAATATGACCAATATGACGTGATATAATCGCCTCGTGTTATATATATAACGTTGTCATGTGATTGGCGATATGAAGTAAAAATAAATAAATAGTAAATTATGACTCATCGGATACGTTATGCTCAAAATATTTTCTGCAGTAGGTAATTTTTCTTCTCAGTGGAAAGACTAAATATCTTTGTGATGCGGGCATATTATCGAATCATGCCAAGTTTTTTTTTGCTTTTTTTTTGCATGTCTTGCACGAGTTGCTCAACTAACTATATTTCCTTGAATACCTGTTATTTTATGTTTTTCTAAGATTTACTCGAAACTATTGCGGGACATGATCTTGGGTTTGAAGATGTCTTAAACCTTGGAATAACCCTATGAAGATATCCGTTTTTATCGGTCATGATCCATGGTTGAAAATCTCCCGTCCAAGAGGTTGTGAAGAAGACTATCCGTTTTATCGAGGTCGTGATCTTTCGAAGAAAATATTTTATGTATCGATTCTATTAGGCGGTCGTAATTCTTGGAAGAACTATCCGTTCCTATCGATCCCATCAAGTGGTCAATATTCTTGGAAGAAGATATCAGGTTTTATCGATCCCGTTGCAAATGGAATGGTCGAGATCCTGCGAAGAAGATATCCGTTCTGATCGATCCAATCAAATGGTCTTGATCCTAAGAAGATATCCGGTCTTATCGATCCCATTGCAAAATGGTCGTGATCCTTCGAAGATGTCCGATCTTATCGATCCTTTGAAGTAGATATCGATTTCATCAAATAGTCTTGATCCTTCGAAGAAAGATACCCGGTCTTTTCGATCCCATCAAATGGTCGTTATCCTTCGAAGAAGATATCGATCCCATTAAATGGTCATGGTCCTTCGAAGGAAACTATCCATTCTTATTGATCCCATTGCAAAATGGTCGAAGATGTACAATCTTATCGATCCTTCGAAGGTACTTACGATCCCATCAAGTGGTCGCGATTCTTGGAAGAAAGCTATCCGTTCTTATCGATCCCATTGCAATGGTCGTGATTCTTGGAAGAAAAAATTCGTTTCATCGATCCCGTCGTGAACCTTCGAAGGTACTTATCGATCCCATCAAGTGGTCGCGATTCTTGGAAGAAAATCATCCATTCTTATCGATCCCATTGCAAATGGTCGTGATTCTTGGAAGAAAACTATCCGTTCTTATCGATCCC